AATCCCTTTTATTCAACCCCCACCACCCATGTACAGTAAGAATAACATGTCAGCCGTACGTGAACGGGAATTCGTTCAGAAATCCATTTCAGACCTTTTGTCCTCGGGTAGAATCGTAGAAAAATCTGAGCCGTCATATATCACCAGCCCACTTTCTGTAGCTGTTCAATCCTCTGGAAAGAAGAGACTTATTCTCGACTTGCACAAACTAAACAAATATGTCAACAAAAAGCACTTCAAAATGGAAGACTGGAAAACAGCCGTATGCTACTTGTCAAAAGATGCTCTAATGTTTGGCTTTGACTTAAAATCTGGGTACCACCATCTCGAAATTGCGAATGAATCTCAGAAGTATCTAGGATTCTCCTTTTCTATCGATAACATCACAAGATACTTTGAGTTTTCAGTTCTGCCTTTTGGCCTTACTACGGCTCCTTCCATCTTCACGAAAACTATGAAAACATTGGTCACTCATTGGCGATCCTCTGGGATCCTTGTAATCTTGTACCTAGACGACGGATTAATCATACATGTAGTTCCAAAATGGGAAAACTCTCATTTGACTACAGCTAGAGAAATTTCAAAGCACATTAAGGCCGACCTACATAGATCAGGTTTGGTTTATAATGTGGAGAAAACAAACTGGGACCCCAAACATCAATTCAGTGGCTAGGCATGACTTGGAACACTTCTTTAGGAACTCTTCAAGTCGTCAAAAGAAGAATAGACAAACTTCTCAACTCAATCAACATCATCCTGTCACTAAGCTGTGTAGTTCTTCGCAGTTTACATTCAGCTGTCGGTCAGATAATATCTTTCAGTCCGATTTGTGGGAGCCTCACCAGACTTATGACTAGACATTGTCAAATCAAAATTGCGGAATCAGATGATGAAAATGATGTAATAATTCTTGATGCATTTTGTAGATCAGAGTTACAGTTTTGAAAAGATCACGCATGTTCTGCAAACACACTTATTTAGCTTATTTAGCTCTTCAAAGTTCAATAACGTAGTCTGCTGTGATGCCAGTTCCTCTGGCTCTGGTGCTATCATCTGCAACAAAACGCACACGGCTCATAAGAACTGGACAGAGAATGAAGCCAGGCAAAGTTCAACGTGGAGAGAGATAAGCACAATCAAATTCGCGATAGAATCGTTCCTTCCTATCATATCAAACTCTGAAGTCAAAATCTTCACGGACAACCAAGCAGCCGCCAAAATAGTAGCGCATGGTAGTAGCATGAAAACTGAATTACAGATGATAGCTGTAGACATATTCCAACTTTGTTTGGATAATAAGATCAGACTAGAGGTAGATTGGATACCGAGAACTCTGAATGAACAAGCAGATTTTTTGAGCAAATTAGTAGACACGGATGATTGGTCGATCTCAGATGAATTATTTCATATACTAACTCAGAAATGGGGTCCTTACACTGTTGATTGCTTCGCTTGTTTCTACAACGCCAAACTACCTAAGTTCTTTTCTAGGTTTTGGAATCCTGGGACATCTGGGGTGGATGCCTTTACCCAAGACTGGTCACGTGAAACTTGCTTATTAGTTCCCCCAGTTGTCCTCGTACCTTGCGTTCTTCAACACATGTTTGTAAGCAAAGCGAAAGGGACTCTCGTGGTTCCATATTGGCCTTCGTCAGCATTTTGGCCATTACTATGGTCCTGCTACCTTCCCTGGGTCGCAGACGCCATCATCATAGAAGGCAAAAATTCCCTGATATTAGGCCGTAACAAGAATTCTCTTCTGGGATCTCAAAAATTCTCATCTCAAGTCTTAGCAGTAAAATTGGTCTTTGAATAATCTAGTGTTTTATTGTTTCCCATATCACAGAACATTCTCAGGAACAGTTTTTGGACAGAATTCCCGAATATTGTTTCCAAAGAGGTTTTCTACGAGGCAATTTCATCTAAAGCGGAAGGAACAATTATCAGTTATTTTTACAAATGCAGGGAGTTCTTCAAATGGCTTAAAGAAAACAAACGCAATGATAGCTTACCTATAAACGACAAAATTATTACTTGTTTTCTTTCACATGTATTAACAAGATCAAACACCGACAGTACCATAATCACCACTGCAGCTGCAATTAATAGGGAACACTCCATGGTTAATGCATCTCCCAACCCAGTAGATTCCCCAATAGTTCAGAATGTTATCTTGGGTGGAAGGCGTCAGCTTCACAAACCACCAAACCAGAAAGATCCAATAACACACAGTCAGGTTCAGGAAATTGCCGCCAAATTTTCCCAACCAGGAAGCAACTTGATAAAAATTAGAACAGCTTGTTTTGTATCCTTATCATTTGTATTAATGTTCAAATATGATGAAATGGCCCAAATCAAAGTTAGCCACATTAGTTTACTTCCAGAGAACAAAGGCATCAAAATTTTCATTCCTCGATCGAAGACTGATATCTTCAGAGACGGCACCTCAACATATCTCCCCTATGTAGAAGACCCTTTCTCTGCAATAAACATTTTACTAAGATACTTATCAGGTTGTAATATTCACATAGGCCAAGATAAATTTATATTCACTCCCTTGACTTTCCACTTAAGTACTAAATCGTATAAGTGTCTTGTGAACAAACCACTCAGTTACTCTCGTTGCAGAGAAATCTTTTTCAGTGCCCTAAAAGAGATAGGTGTGACCAATCCCAGTTCTTACGGTCTTCATAGTTTAAGATCAGGAGGTACCACACACCTCGCACAAAGAGGTATATCTGAAGAAGTTATCATGAACCATGGCAGGTGGAAGACAACTGTGTCTAAGAATAGATATGTAAAATATAGTGTAAATCAGAGAATGAGTGTTGGAAAAATACTCGCCAGCAAGTAAAGTCAACAACAACTACAAAAAACGGGCGAAGCCTAAAGGGTCTGAAGGACCACTACAAAAAAGAAGAAAAAAAAGAAGAAAATACCGGGCGAAGCCTGAAGGGTCTGAAGGACCATTCAGAACGAAAGAAAAAATAAATAACTAATGCCAATTCAGGATGCGTGTGATGTTTTTTCTTTAAATAACATTTATTTTGTAATTAGAAGAATTCGTTATGAGAAAATAAGAATTCACTTATAATTGTGAGAAGTATAAGAATTTAATGTGTGTAAATTTAAACACGGGCATAATAATTTAATATTATTTATTATTAATAAATTTCCATTCAGTAATTAACTACAAAGTTTACAATGTGCATTTAAAACACGAAAATTAATCCAATGTTCATGTTTAATTAATTACCACAGACAAATCGCATAATCAGTACAGCCTCTCGCACTGTTATCTTGTTAGCAATTTCCCACATGTAACAATGCTACGATGCACAGGATTCAGTTCAACGTCACACTGGCTCTTCCCATGCTTTCAATAAATATCACAACAGAATTCCTTTGTCCCTTGTTGTCATTGTGTCTCAGATGTTGGGCATTACAGCCAAACTACTTTTCACGCAGATGAGCGTAGCGAAGAAGCGTGAAAAGTTAAAAATGTTCAACGAAGTCCTTTTGAAGGCCCGTCTTGTAAAAAAAAAGGATATTAGCCCCCCCCCCCCAAAAAGTCTCCGGTTTCTGGTATGCGCGCGCGTCGCCGTAGCCATGCGCGTCGGCAAAATGAAAAAGGTTTTTTTTCAATGAAAGATGATGTCTCAAAACCGCCAAACTCACTGGTTTGACTGGAATCCTGCTGCTGCACAATTTTAACGTCTTTTTAGATGGGGTTATGATCGAGAATAAGCTTTGTGTGGCCTCTCTTGACTCCCATATATTTGCACTAAGTTTAGTTGGGCACCATTTGCAGTCATCAGCCGACATTTGAAGCAAAAAAGTCTGGTAAAAAAAAAAAAAAAGCCGCGTCCTGGGGGCAATACCATCCCGCCATCCATACTACCAACCACACTTAAGCCAGACATTGTCATAACAGACGAACATAACAAAGACATCACCATAGTTGAATTAACAACTAAAAGCCATGAGTACAAAATGCAAAAATATAACACGAGATTTGCCTGAGATAGGCTTCAACTCCAAACGCATCTCCTTGGAAATAGGAAGTAGAGGCTTCATCGACGAAAACAACAAAACACATATCCGCTCTCTACTCAATCTGATGACAAAAACCGAAATAAGACAACTCACCATTCACCTGTACAAAACAGCACTGACCTCATCCTTAGTTATTTTCGACTCAAACTACAGCCCTGAATGGATTGATTCTCAGGATTAAAGTATCCTTTCTTATCGCTCATCCCACTCAACAATATTCCCTTGACCTAGCCAAGCATTATTCCCTGGCTTATGCTTTTCTTGTTATGCTAAATTGTTAATTAATTAATTTGTCTATCCTGCAGACCACATTTTTTTGTCTTTTTCTGCTTCAACATTAATTTCTAGTTCCTTGCTTCATTGACATTTAGACTGTTTCTTTTGATTCATATTTCATGTTCATGATGTTCTGAGTTTCCTCCATGTCATTTTGTTGTTGTTGTTGATTAATGATTTATGAATAAAAGACATGAATTAATAATAAATAAAGGAACATAGTAATTTTTATTTGAAGATCGCAAACTTGTGATTTTATGCTCGATGATATCGCCATGACGTCACTGTTCTACACTTCTGAATCAGGGTTGATGCACATTTCAAGTTTTAAGTTGATACCATTCACCAAAAGTGGTGGAGAATTATTGCCAAGGAAACAAAATACACATAGAAAGAAAGATGAAAAACTTGCACAATGTTAAAATGGTGATTGGGCTGAGCCCTATCACCCAAAAGACTTGCTGATAGCACAGTCAATGTTAGTGATGTCATTAAAAGATGGTATTAAAATGTCAGTGACTCAAGCAAGAATGTGACTTGACTCAAGTCACAAAACGCAGCGACTCAGAATGACAGTGTAATGGGAACTCTTTACCTACAACAGAGCTCAATTGAAATCCTTTGAGGCTACTCCACTACAAAAAAAACACAATAAAATAGAAAAATACCTGTATGACTCTTTGTTCCTCATGTAGTCGAGTTGTTAGAAACCTAGTAGCCAGTTGTTTTACTTTGCTTTCACAATTGGAAGACACACTTTCTGACGAATAGACCCTCTTCCAATTTTCTCTGTCACAAAATAAAACATAAACAAATTTCCTTTATTAAAGTTAAATAAGTTTTGATATTAAGCATAGAATAAATAGCTATTTTCAATTGCAACTGATGATCAATTGGGACAACACACGCACAAAACACTATCTTTTGTCAACAACTCAGTCAAAATTTTCCTGACTATAAAAACTTCCCCACAATGTTGTACCAACCCGAGCACACACATACACAATGTCCCCCTGTGTTGTTAAGGATGACTGCAAGCACTTCATCAATCTTTACAATGCACAGAGACCAAGATTTATGGTGGGAAAACATGTACATGTAGGTGGACATGTCAATTTGGGCACTGAATGAAACTGAATATCCAGTCTACTAGGAAAGGACTAAGGTTAGTGCACTAGAAATTTGACGAGTTTAAAGGTTGGAACACATAAATATGTTTTAAAAACTCACATTTCTTTGGAATCCATACACAGTATCTTAATTGCTATTTCAAGATGCCACGATAAACCATCCCATCCACAAGACAGGTTGCATAGAAGGTTGCTTTCTTCCAGGATCTGATGCTTTCTACGCAGGAGAATGCCGCTTTCAGTTTCCAAGACATCATCCATACAACAAATAACATCATCTGTTCAAAAAAGTGTGCATGAATGAGCAACATTAACAAATATAACTTTTTATTCTAACTACGCTATTTCTATTGTTAAATTTGTTTCTTGCATTCATTTATGGTTTTAATTTGTCGATGCCTGTTATGAAAAATATAGTATAGTTTATGCCCAACCGAAAATAGTCACAACTTTTCTACTGAAAATATATTCTCTCTTTTTCAGGAAAGGACAATTTTTAAGGACAGGACAGATTTAGCACTTGTGAGAGAACCCCTGCAGTTATGCCCAAATGCAAAGTTTTTCAAAAACGCTTTTTTTTGGTCTCCACACAAAAAGTCCACTAAGCTTATTTTAGAGGTCATTACAAAATCTCATTTAGGCCATCAGCCTGGGGGTTTGGTCAGTATCGAATCAGGGCATAAATGATTATAGTGCGCATGCGCAAGGTATACCGCCCCTAGAGTGATAACAAGCATTTTATAACAAGCATGTGGTAACACCCAAAAAGCTGCCACCGCTGCAATGCTATCACATATTTTCCAACTCTGGAGGTGTATACCTTGCCAAAAATCGCTATGACGATTATTCCCCTTATTTGATACTGGTTGCCAAAATTTTGGACAAGGCTGATGGCCTACTTTTAGTTTTAATGCATGTTTAAACAAGTGTTCAACAAAGGACATTCTTTTCAACTTGTTTAATGGAAATGGAGAGGCTTCACCTACAATAGAATAACTTGAAAACTGTGGGCCCATCATAATGAAATTTGGTGTACATATTTTGGAAATAAGTCAAGTGTTTCAGCCATTTTGTGAGTTTTTTTTGTGGTGTCTTCTGATTTTCTCTCAGTTTGCATTTTGCAAAACTGCAAATGAAACTCTGAATAATGTGAAAAGGCACACTCAAAAAGACTGTAATTTTATAACCATACAGGTTATTTTGTGTTTTGACTGTTTGAACAACAAAGAAAATGACACAGAATACTTGATTCAACAACTGTCACCAACTGTAGTACACAATATTTTGATTAACAACCCTAGTAAGGCAAACAATATGATTTATAAAATCTACTTTTTTAAAAGATGGGCCTTCAAAAGGACTTTGTTGCATATTGTTAACGTTTAAACTAAGATTTCATCGCTGGTGATGTTTGAAGACAATTGTGGCGACGATTGTTGAAATCGCATTTTTTGGACGAGACAGGGTTTAGGGTCATTGTGTTTAAATGGTGATACTCTTTGAACGGATTGACAGATTTTAGAATTTTTTTCATCTAAACGTAGCTTATGAAATTGGCTTTCCCAATATTATTATTTTTGGTGCTACATATCTTTTTAAATATGAAATATAAATTTTGGGGTTTGGGTTCCGCTTTTTTTTTTACTCACCCTGTATTTAGTGAACATATGGATTTTTAATATGCCTAATTGTCACAAGGGGGCATTCTTATAAGTAATGATATAATGAAACATGCAGATCATAGAAATTACCTCTTTGAAAACCAATTTTATAACCAGCTTATGGCCAATCACCGAATATACTAAATATATATTTATTATATATTTGACTGTGAGATCATCATTATATGGTTATCAACACACCAATTGAAAGCCTTAACAATGTATGTACAGCTTTTGGACAGCTATTTTCAAATCTTATATGTTGTCCCTTTCTGGCATGAAAGGTTTTGCTTCAAGACATTTAGCTTGTATGCTTACTGCCAAAGTAGTTTGCTGAATAATGATGTATTTGCTGTTCAACCTCAAATCTATCGATGCAAACTTCATTTCTCTTGTGAACCTTGCTTATTCAAATGAAACTATGAAGTTAGCTCAAAACATTTTATATATTATATACTCCGTCTTTAAATTAACAAACCTATTTCAAACTGAAGGGAGCTGTTGCGGCTTTTTGGTACAACAAAGCCATACTCTAGTAGCAATTTATCATTCCCGTGTGGTCCATAGCATATGAAAGCTTGTTGCCATTTCTTGCAGCCTGTTTCTGTTTTAACCACATAGCAGTCCAGGGAAGAATCAAACCCAGCTTCTGTCTACAGTAAAAAGTTACAAGTATAATGATCAATGGGAAAGATCATGTACCGTCCCTGGTGAACGATTTACATTTTTATATCGGTAACAGCCCAAAAGTCTGAAGGTTCAATAGTCTGAAGGTTCAATAGTCTGAAGGTTCAATAGTCCGAGGTTCAATAGTCCGAGGTTCAATAGTCCGAGGTTCAATAGTCCTAAGGTTTGATAGTCCGAAGGTTCGATAGTTCGAAGGGACCATTAGCAGTCCCTAATTTTTAAGGAGAGCGATCGCGCAGGTGCTCCTACTGCGCTCCTCGACCGTCTCGAAGGAGCGCCGAAAATAGCGCTCCTCAAAAATCCAAAAGAGGGCTCATCAAACACGGGCAGTTTAAAAATAAGAAGTGATAAAAACGCCAAGGATTTTAAGTCTTTAGCTACACGTATTATTTGTTTGTATTAATGCCCAAACTCACGTTTATTCAGCCGGATTTTGCTATAAATGAACGAATACCGAGCTCGTACATACCTTCAAAGTTCATATGCGTGTACAAATGGCCAGCTGTATACTACATGCAATATCTGCATCATGTATGAAAACACGTGGGCACGTACGTGCTCTAGTGCAGCAGTGACTGGTTCCCGCCGCGCCGCGCACAAAGGGCCAAAAAAGGCATGATGGAAATGCACAAGTCGCGCGCGGTGCAATGCACTGCAGTAAAGTGTTTAGCATTCGGGACGGATGGAATAGACATCGTAAATATGCCAAGAAAACATTGATGGAGAAAGACGATCTTTGCAAGTTAATTCACAGAACTTGATCGCTCTTGTCCGTGTATGTATTTCCCGTGTTAATGAATTTTTTTTCGAGGAAGTACTACTGGTATATAAAGTGAAACGATGCAGCGTGTTTCACTGAAATCTCCTACCATAAGATGAGGTTCTTTCCCCCACCACCCACAGTGCATCATGCACGCTCATACCAAACGAAGTTCGGACATTGTTAGCCAGTTTCTCGTCATGACTAGCATTATGCATATGGTATACTCGACCTGCATTTTCCATTAATTTTTATCTCAAGTTATCGCGCTGACAAAATTTCTATTGTTTCAGCCACTGTGGCCCCAAATGCAATAGGCTTCTTAGGATTACCAAGAACAATACACAAACCAAATTTGAAGTTCATATGTAAAGTATTTCTCAAGTTATCGCGCTGACAAAATTTCTATTGTTTCAGCCACTGTGACCTTGACCATTGACCTTTCAGCCCCAAATGCAATAGGCTTCTTAGGATTACCAAGAACAATACACAAACCAAATTTGAAGATTATATGTAAAGTATTTCTCAAGTTATCGCGCTGACAAAATTTCTTTTGTTTTAGTCACTGTGACCTTGACCCTTGACCTTTCGGCCCCAAATGCAAAACGGTTCTTAGGATTACCAAGAACAATACACAAACCAAATTTGAAGTTCATATGTTAAGTATTTCTCAAGTTATCGCGCTGACAAGATTTGTCCGGACACACACACACATACACCCCCACACACCGGTTTACGTTACATACCTTGTGTGGACACTCCTTTGTTTTCGTGTAGTTAAGAAAACTCGGTACAAAAAATAACTTTACTTAAACTGTGAAAACTCTTTTAACCCAATTTTTTTTCTATGATACCCCATAGTGTTTCTCTTCATTCTGCTAGGGATAAACCTAACCCAAAAATGCCTCTAAACCTGTTTTCCAGAAAAGGCAAAACGTTAAGTGGACACGGCTTAGTCCACATAACGTTAACACAACCTACATTATGTGGACATCTTTTGTTCGGAAGTCCACATAGGGAATGTAAGACAAACTCAACCACAGAAGGACAAGGCGGAAACAGTATGCACCTTCGGCTTCGCCGCGGGCATAAAAAAATAAAGCGTAAACAGCAGTCAAACCTTTTATTAATCTCCATCTGGTTGTTTTTTTTTTAAATATATTTTACCTTGTCTTACAAAAACAAAAGAAGTAACGCCACTTGAACATATTATTATGCAACAACTAAAAATAATGCAGCCCCTTGAATAAATCCTGATATTCAAAACAAAACAAAACAATGTTAACCGGTCGTTTCACCGCTGTTTATCCGTGGATCTTAAGGAGAGCGATTTATAGCTCTCCTGGATTTTCTTTAAATGAAGGACTGCATTAGTCCGAAGATACAATAAGGTTAATTTAAGGGAAAACACAACATTTGCAAACTCAAAAAATAAAACTACCAAATCATTTTGAAATACCTTGCTGGACTGTTAGCGAATGACAGTGTAAAGCATCCTGTAAAATCATGGCACCTGGTGTACTGTCATTTTCAAGAAAAGTGGTATTTTTGTATCAATTTCCAACGCTGGTCGGCCGACCAGCGTTGGGAAAAAAAATGGCTTTTTTCAAATACTGGCCCCAATTGACCATCGCACTTGTTTGCAATCGATTACACACCTATGAACGGGTACAAGCCAGCTAGACTGGTTCCCTGACCTTACAATTCCCCAATGTATGTAAACTGCTCTGTTTCTTCTTATATGGAGTCAGGGAACCAGACTACAGGAAAATGATTGTTTTTCTTGGTTTTTATAGGATTTTTGAACCCCAAACCTCAAAAAAGTCAGTGTAACTATATTTTCTATATATTTCCAACCTGACAATTCCATCCATTTCTGAAAATTACAGCAAAAGCAAATGATGTATATTCCCTTTAATCCGAAGGCTCGATATAGTCCAAATAGACAATAGGGTGCGATAGTCCAAATCGACAATAAGGTCCGCTAGTCCGTAAAGATGATCAGGTTCGATAATCCAAATATACGGTAGGGTTCGATAGTCCAAATTGGCAATAAGGTTCCATAGTCCGAATCAACAATAAGGTTCATCAGTCTGACACTTCGGACTATCGGACCTTATTGTCGCTTTGGACTATCGGACCTTATAGTCTTTTTATATAAGTGTAATTTGTTGTGCTTCTTGAAAGATGTAAAATGAACAATGAATGAATGAACAATGAACCTTCGGACTATTGAACCTTATTTTCATTTTGGATATTTCAACCTTTGGACTGATTAACCTTATTTTAAATTCGGACTACCGAACCTTTGGATAAATGAACCTTAGGATTAATGAACCTTCGGACTATTGCATCAAGTGTTCGGATTAACGAACCTTACATGTATGTCATTTTCTGACTAACAAACCCCCTCTTATGGAAATTTTGTGCATTTGGACTATCGAACCTTCAGACTAAAGAACCTTTGGACTATCAGGCGGCCCCTGTGTGCTTAGATACTGTAAATTCAATAGTTCTTTAGATGAGACTTTTAAATATGCCCTTTTAAGTTGACGTCACATAACCCATGATGACGTCATCATGATGTCACTCTTGGGGACACAAGCTCACTACATGGGATCTTTACATAGGGTTAGTTTAATGAGAATGCGAGTTTGTTTTAGATCCAAAATGCCGCGGGGAATAAAACATGTACAAAATCTATGGGATTTGGGTTAGAACAAGAAGAAAAAAACAAACGGAAAAAAAATCAGAACAAAAACAAAGCTTTTCCACTTTTAAGGGGAAAAGCAGTAACAGATTAAAGAAGGGGGAAAGCAAAAACAGATTAAAGAAATGTTAAGTTATTACCTCAGCTTCGGGTGAGTGATTGAGTAGATCAATGTATGGAGCTAGAGCACAGTTACCCTGCTGGTTCTCCTGCTTCATATAAACACATCTTGTGTTGACAGCAAACCACGCCCATCTAAATCTTTCAAATGAGAGTCTACTGCTCATTGATGGGTACGTCCCTCTTAGCAGTTCAAAGAATGCTGACAGTTCTTTAAAGGCAGATGAAACATTTTCAATCTGAGCCTTTGCATGAGTGCATGTGTCTTTTGGTAGTAACTGCAACTCTCTTTCGTTGAAGAATGGTGGTGTACCAAACATTTGGGGAAGGACAGCTATGTATGGAAACCAGAATGAGCCGACACCTTTACAAGCCTCAAAGAGTAGGTAGACTGTAAGCATCTGGTGTGATGTCATTGGATTTCTTTGTCTGGGAAAGAAAAAAAAAATCCAGGTACACTCCTGTTCCATAAAAGGCAAAAACCCCACACAAATGTTCATACAAAAGTAATTACACGTACACTGAGGTCTGTTCCAGAATATCCCCCCCTCATGAAAGTGCTTTATAAAAAAAAACTCTTTCATTTGTTTGGGGCATAGGGTTTGCCCAGTTATCCTTTCCCTCACCTTTCAACTCTGTGGCCGTCCTTGGTTTTCAGTCACTAACCAATAGACCCAAATTTTACAAAGTTTGGTGAGGGTAGGCTAAGGTTAAGTTAGGGGTAATTAAAGTTTCTGTTTTATTGACAGTCTATGGGAATGTCTCCCAAAGGTACCGTTTCCCGTAAATATATTAATAATAAAAATATTTTTTTTATCTCCCATCTTTAACTTGCAAAAAGTCATAGGAATTTTTTGTTTGTTCGTTCTTTAAATCTCGGTGCCAAAAGTGAATTTTTATCTTGAATATTTTGACTAGAAAGTGCACTCTTTCTCCAACCCGTGAATATGTGCCTATTATTCATTCAGTTTTCCTTGATATCAAGTGTCCCTTCTTTTTTTAAATACAATGTCGTCTTTATGGTCTTAAACTGTTTAAATAAATGGATAATTGATACATCAAATATTCTTGATATTAGATTTCTGATATATTGATTATTGCAATTTCTGATATCGACAGCATTTGCATTTTCAATGCATTTTGTGGGCCATGAACTTGAGGGTTTGTGAAAGAAAATGGTGGAAGCGGGAATGATTATCTTTGGATGTAATTTGTTCTCAAAAGTAATTAGATTAACCATTAAAAAAAAAGAACAGAAAATAAACAAGTGATCTGCGGATCGAGTGTTGCCTTTTTTCTGTGATCGATCCGTATATGTTATGTTCTTAAAAAGTCAATTTTGTGTGTTTTTAAACAACGACCTCAAATGACCCCTAGATGACTTCCAATTTCGAAAGAGTTGTGACAAACCCCCACCCAAGGATCATTCCATCCAAGTTACATTCAAATCAATGAAATTATGTAGACAAAGAAACAATTGAAGCATATTTGAACAATGACCTCTAATGACCCCCACATGACCTTTGACCTCAGTGTTCCCCCGGTTGTGACTGGGTCAGTTCTCTCAAAACGCTTTATAACTATGAGATAAACACTCAATAAGACAAACTCTACTACTAGTTCTTTAATCAAAATCTTCTCTTAAGCGATAATGGTAGCAGAAAATTGCTGAGAAATACAGAGCGTATTTTATGCACGTCCTACCCGACCTGCAGAGAAAAGAGGAAGAGCGCGGGGCACTATGGGTAGGACACCAGAGAGTGCTATTGTGTAAACTCTTAGCGTAAATATATGCCTGTCTAGGGAAATATGCATACCGTAATTTTTGGGAATATAAGCCGTGCAGAGAATAAGCCGCAGCATGCAAAAATCTGCAAATTAAGATTTGAAGTCAGCGTATGAGCCGCACTGGCGTATAAGCCGCACGGACCGCAGTGGTTTCAATTTTGTAAGGCCTCCAAATTCTAGTCAAAGTGCTCTGAACCAGTTCCATTTACACTACAGAAGCTATAAAAAGGGCCACAAAAGTTATATCAAATCGTTTACAATCAATACTCTTACAAACAAATATGGAAATTGATGATGAGAAATAAACAACGGGAATTGCTGCGGGCTGCCCCGTCCGGTACCCGGCCTTAAAGTTAGTGCATGGCCTGGCAGCCTGCACCGCGCCGGTGAATGACAACATTTTCCTGCAGTACATGAGAGAGTATGCAACCCACCGTGTGTTGTCTGACTGAAGCGCTACAAATCTTGCTATGTGGCAACAGATGCTGATTTGTTTTGTCTTAAGAATAAACAGGTCCGTTTTTATAACAAAACTTATCAAATTGTTGCGATTACTAACAAGTAGTAACGTTAAAAATTCAAGTTTCGATCGTAACTTCCTTCAAAAATAGTCAAAACGATGCTGACATTTTAATGGACGAATCCATTAATTTGGTAAGGGGTGATTTAGTCCCTGTTTTGAGTTTTATATCGTTTCTTGAATACATTTCAAGGAAACAAAATAATAATAATAACAAAGCATTTGTAAGGCGCACAGTATCTGACAAAAATAGTCATTCAAAGGCGCCGGTCAGTGAAAAGTCAGTGTGTGTGAAGGTAGAGGTCATCATGTGTGAGAAAGAAACTGATTGAAGAGGTGGGTCTTTAGTTGGCGTGTGAAGAGAGATAATTGGTGTATTGCCCTTAACTCGTCTGATAACGAGTTCCAGAGACGCGGTGCAGAGCTGGAAAATGCACGGTCTCCGTAGGTCGCCAAACGAGTCTTCGGGACAAACAGTTTATTGGATGACGACGACCTCAGACCTGGTCTCAGTTGACGATGTTGAACCATTTCCTTCAGATACAGTGGGGCTAAACCATGAAGAGCTTTAAAAGTAAGAAGGAGAACTTTGTAATGGATGCGGTACTGGATTGGTAGCCAATGAAGTTTGCGCAAGATGGGTGTTATGTGGGAAGATGATTTCGTTCTTGTGAGTGTGCGAGCGGCAGAGTTCTGGACAAGTTGGAGACGTTTTATCGTATGTTGTGGTAGACCTACAAGTAGGCTATTGCAAAAATCCAATTTGGATGATATGAAGGCATGGATGAGTTGTTCTGCGGCAGAGAATGTAAGTGAGTTTCTTACTGCTGCTATACGTCGTAGATGTATGTAAGAGGACTGACAAATAGAAGAGACATGTCGTTCAAGGTTCATTGACTTGTCAAAAATGACACCAAGATTGCGGGCTTCAGAGCAAGGAGCGATATGTGTATCTCCTATGCGTATGTCAGAGATGTTGACTTTGTGTCTGATGTGCTGAGAACATATGACAAGGTACTGTGTTTTAACTGCGTTGAATTTGAGGAGATTGGCTGTCATCCACTGTTGGATGTCTTTCAGGGATGTTTCAAGAATACGGTGTGTAATAGTGTCATCACCAGGAGAACTTGGACAGAAGGTGGCAAAGAGTTGTGTGTCATCTGCATAAAAATGAGGGTGTAGGCCATGACGTCTTGCAATGCGCCCTAAAGGAGATATGTATAATGTGAACAGCAGAGGTCCTAATACGGACCCTTGCGGAACCCCATGTCGGAGAACTGACCGATCAGACAACTCTCCTGATATGTTGACAGCCTGAGATCGATCTTGGAGGTATGATCTGAACCATGAAAGTGCAGATCCCTGTACCCCAAAGTGATACTGTAACCTATGTAGCAGGATTTTATGGTCAACGGTGTCGAAGGCTGCTGAGAGATCTAGCAGAACCAGGAGAACAACCCTTTTGTTGTCAACAGCGAGCATTATGTCGTTGTGAACTTTGACAAGTGCTGTCTCAACACTATGGAACTTAGTGTACGCTGATTGGAGGTTGTCCCGCAGGTTATGTTGAATGAGATGTGCATTCAACCTGGCTGCAACTACTCTCTCAACAACCTTCGACATAAAAGGCAAATTTGAAATTGGACGATAGTTCTTTAGATCATTAGAGTCCAGTGATTTCTTCTTGATGACGGGTGTGATGAGAGCTGTCTTGAAGCATGTCGGGAAGTGACCTGTGGCGAGTGACTTGTTGATGATCAGTGTTAAAGGGTGAAGCAACACGTTGATGTGATCCTTTACCAACGATGTCGGTATTGGGTCAAGAGGGCAGGTCTTCGTCGGTGCACTCTTGACGATCTTCATCACTTCCGTGTCTGATGCAGGTGCTAAGGATAAGAGGGGAGATTGGCAAAATTCAAGATCTGCCTGCGCAGGATTAATGCCGGGATCCATTTCTGCTAAGTCATTTCTGATCTTGGAGATCTTGCTGTCGAAAAAGTCAGAAAAATGGGTAGCCATCTCATAGGGTGAAGAAAATGATGGGAGTATGGGTGATGTTTTCTTGTGCAGAAGATGGTTTATGACCTGAAAAAGGGCACGTTGGTCACCATCACAGCCTTGGATTTTCTCTGAGTAGTAATTCGTCTGGTAATACCTGTATTTGGATTTTACCAGATCTCTCTGCGATTGGAACATCTCACGGTGTATCTGTAACTTGGATTTTCGCCAGCGTCGTTCAAGTTGACGACGCTTGCGTTTGGCCTCTGCGATGTCATTGTTGTACCAAGGAATTTTTGGTTTATCTACAATTTTGCAGGTTTTGGGGGGAGCGTGAGAGTCAAGCAGTTTACAGAGTACAGAGTTGTACTGGTCGACTAAGGTGTCTGGCGTATCTGCAGGGCATGTGATGAGCGGAGATGTGGCAATGTCATCCTTAAATTTAGTGGGGTCTATCGCAGTGATCTTCCGATACGTGATTTTGTGCCTCACATATCTTGGTTTACGCAAGTCCAACCGGCAATGGACAGCACAATGGTCAGACACAAAGTCCGATGTGTCAACAGATTGTACGAGGGTGTCGAACTGTCGCGTGATCACAAAGTCTATTGTGTGACCAGATGTGTGAGTTCCAGTGGTTACCAATTGTTGCATGTTGAACTGTGTGAGGAGGTTACCAAAACGCCGGTCATTAGCTGAAGGGGTGCTGGTGGTGGCGTCATTGTTCCAGTGGATATTGAAGTCTCCTAGTATAATAAGCTGCCCAGTGAACAACGCATACCGATCAAGAAGGGAGGCGAACTCATCCATGAACGTAGTTAATGAGCTGTGTGGTGGACGGTACAACACAATGATTCGGAAGTGCTTGTTGTCATGGTTATGAATGTCAACTTCCATAGATTCAAAGGAAGATGGCGGTGGATGGCTACACTGCTTGACAACAGACGCCGTCAAGCTAGACTTGTAGACTAGTCCGACACCACCACCTCGACGCCCTTTTCTGGGGATATGTACCAGCTTATATCCCTCGGGAGTTATACTAGCGGTGTTCCGATCTTGTTCAGCACGAAACCATGTTTCTGTTAGAGCTAGGATGTCAATGCTATAGTCACGAATGTGATCTATAATCAAATCTGACTTATTACAAGCAGATTGACAGTTTATCAGGCCGAGGTGTGTCATAGTTAGGGCATTCTTGTCAAGGTGTTTGGTCGTATCCCCTTCTTTTCGTTTTCCTCCCCGGCAACCCCTATGTTGATGGTGCCTTTTAGTGATACCAAGCGATCTAATGTTATCGAACACTTTGGTGGGGAGTTTAGATCTTGGGTTGGTCATTTTGACTTGGATGGTTATCAGTTCATCCTTGGTATACTGCAGCCCTTTCCCCGTGTACATGGTTGATAGGGACAATGTAGTAGCAATTGTCAATAACAAAAGACACTTACACCGTGCGTGAATCATGGTTAGAGACCAGTGGCATATAGCTGTCGAAAAGCAACATCAAATGTCACATTACAGAGTTCCATACTGATGACAACAGTTTGACAGGAATGGACAGGAACCCAACACACACCTGATGTGCAATCTTGGAGTCATCAAGAATTGACGCAGTGGTAGAAAATGTGACTTTTCAAGAGACCAAAATGTGGGGCTGCCTCAAGGCGCACACCGTCAGTTGAACTATATATTGTTATGTTGAACAACTGATTATCGAATAAAACAAGTCAGGTGTGTTTACAAACACAAATGCCCCGCAACCGTGACTGTTCCCATGACATAACACCACTCTTTTAACATCAACTTATGTACCTTGGTCACATGGAACGTTCATTGACAGCATTAGTGTCTTCTATAGGTTTTATATAAATTAATCCCTAATCCCTATGATCTCAGAATAAATACAAGATTTTTATTGTTTTAGCCACTGTGACCTTGACCCTTGACCTTTCGACCCCCAATGCGATAGGCCTCTTTGGATTACCAAGAATGATCCACAAACCAAATTTGAAGTTCACATGTAAAGTATTTCTCAAGTTATCGCACTAAAAAAATTTCTTTTGTTTTAGCCACTGTGACCTTGACCCATGAACTTTTGGCCCCAAATGCAATAGGCTTCTTAGGATTGCCAAGGACAATCCACAAACCAAATTTGAATTTCATATGTTAAGTTTTTCTCAAGTTATCGAGCTGACAAGATTTGTCCGGACACACACACACACCCCCACACAGTCGTTTTTTGCTATGCTTCTGAGGATTGGCTTTGTGTTTTCCTTTGTTCCCTGATCTAAACCTTCCCATAGACTTAGTGCACAAACCGACATTCGAGGACAATAGGCACCGTCGTTCGAGGATGAATGGCCCCTTTGTGCTCCTGTTGTTGTCTGTCCTCAAGCGTAATACAATACAGGAACACACACACACACCCATACCCACCCACGGAAGGACAAGGCGGAAACAGTATGCCCCTTCGGCTTCGCCGCGGGGCATAAAAATGTTTCGCACACCATACAAATTTTAGTCTTCTTTTTTCTTTTTTTTATAACAGCGGAAATATTGGTCATTATTGTTCCCAAGAAGGTACACCCCTTTATTACCACAAATGATGTGGTCCGCTGGGGGAAAGCATGCTGCATGGCATATCGCATGCTGCACTAGTATCACGTACGGCTGGTCGCAAGCGTCAAAGACAACTTTCACCGTACTTTTTACCGCTCGGTACCTTTATGTGGGACGTGGTTTCGGTTTGTTAATGACTTTCTTAATTGATAATTCATTTCAGCAGCACATCTCTTCTTGTACCAGTACATTAAATACACATGTGAATCCTATTTTTATTCTTCAAGGCTCGGCGTATAAGCCAGACTTGTATTCGAGTCACGAAACATTGAGTCCAAGTCCGACTCCGAGTCACATTTCTCGAGTCTGTCACAGTTGATGCCAAATTCTATCTTTTTCCCCTTATTTTCAAGTAATTCCTTTTCTTACTTTTACTTTCCTTTCCTTTTCCGTCGCGCAAGGTCAGGTAAGTATGGCTATTCGTTGGTTTTTCTTGCGTTTCCACTTTCAGTGTTTGTGTATAACGGCGTACGTAGATAACAATACCTACGTGCGCATACAATTGTATATAGCCTGTACGCTGAAAGATTCAGCGAACCATGTATATGAATATTTATAAGTTGATGAATAAAGCCATAGAAACTTTTGGGGTTTTTTGCGTGTGTGTCTTAGAAAGTATTTGTAATGTAAATAAGTGCCGTAGTCATGTGATGAAAGAGAGAGGGATCCCCGCGAAAGAAAATAACCTGAGAGGTTGATCCGCAATTGCGATGCATTTTTGAGCGATGTCTTCTCTGATTTGAGACCGGGATCGGTCACGATGACGTCATCGGTTCATTTTTTATGATTTTTCTAATATTTGCAATTTTATTCTGCCTCCAAAATTTAACACTTTCTTTCATCGGATTGACTTGGTACAACCCAGACCACAATGACAAAATGTGCATTGACAAGTATTGTCAAGATGACGTCATCGCAGGGCATGTGGCGTCATGTGATGAAATTATATTTTCGGAATTATTCTAAGCATTTTGAACAATTGCATGAAGCACTCTAACAAGTGACTGCAAAAGGACCAACAAAACATAAACATTTGTAAAATGCGAAAAAGCCCTGTGTTCTGTTTTCAAACAGATATACAGCTCTAGTTTTTCTTCTTTTTTCCCCTCTTGTTCCTATCCCAAATCCCATAGACTTTGTACACGTTTATTCACCGCGGCATCTTGGACCTAAAAAAAACTTGTATTCTAATGAAACTTGTCCCATGTAAAGACCCTATTGTGACATTGTGTCCCGAAGAGTGACGTCACGATGACGTCATCATGGGTCACGTGACATCATCTTCTTTGTGCAAACTTGAAGACCCTATATCTAGAGAACCGTAAGTCCGATTGGGTTGAAACTCAGTATGTACGGTAGGTAGACCGGGATGTGTTATAGACGAAAATTGAGGTGACGTCATCATGACGTCATTGTGTGATTTTATATAGATTTTTGAAGTTTTGGACCTTTAAGCCATATCTCACGAACCCAATATGTTAAATTCGAAATTCTTTTTGTATTAGGTTTGTTAGGCAACAGGGATATGTACACAATTTTGAAAAATGTGACGTCATGAAAATGGAACACATATAAGGGAATATCCGATTGTCATGAAACTTGGAGGGTGGGTAGATAATAACACTAGTTCACAAAATCTTGAATGACGCCACGATGACGTCATCGGTAGATTTTTTACAATTTTTTTAATATTGCCAATTTTATTCTACTTACAAAATTTTACACTTTTATTAATCCGATTGTTTTCATACTTGGTACAGATGAAAACCACAATAAAATAATGAGCACTGTCAAGTATTGTTACGATGACGTCATCATTAGACATGTGACGTCATCGTTAACTAGTATATTTTAAGCCCCTATATCTCAGGAACAGTAAGTCAGATTGGGTTGAAACTTGGTACCGGAGTAGGTCGGGATGTGTTACAAATAAATATTGAGGTGATGTCATCATGACATCATCGTGTGATTTTATATAGATTTTTGAGGTTTTGGAACTTTAAACCATATCTCACGAACCCAATATGTTAAATTCGAAATTCTTTTTGTATTAGGTTTGTTAGGCAATAGGTATAGTCGACTCCCGTTATAACGAGGTCCGATGGACTTTCACAATACTGTCGTTATAGCCGGAACCTCGCTAAAACCGGAGCGCAGTTTTCCCCATTCGTTGTGCACAAGGTACGGTACATTGTGCGCGCGTGTTTTAATCGTGTAACGCACGTCCGAAGACATGAAAAGATGGTCATTTGTTGGTATGAACGTCCGTTATTAATGTATATTAAATATTTAACTGATGGTGATGAATAAATGAAATAAATAAAATACCTTTAAGGGAATATTGTTTAATATTTCAGGACCTGAATCCCGAGGAAAAGGCATCATCGCTGAGAAGAATCGCTGAGAAGAATCAGGCAAGTAGGTCACTCGCACAAATCGTGCCAAGTGACATTTTGCTTTCATTTTGCATTTGCTGGAATCGGGCAAGAGAGGGAGCCAATACATGTATTACTTCTGGATTTTAGTGACTCCTGATCCTTAGATGTGGAACTTTACTTTTTGTAGTTGACTTTTTAGAGCAGTTGGGTATTATTGTTTCTGAAGGTCTTCTTTGAAAGTGTAATTATTTCAGTTAACTATAGTGCACATTCGTGCCAATTGACATTTTCTTCAAGCAAATGCTTTCGTTTTGCATTTGCTGGAATCGGGCAAGAGAGGGCGCTAATATTACTTCCGGGTTTAAGTGTCTCCATGTGTAATTGAACTTTGACTTTTCGTAGCAATTGGTGATGATTGTTTCTCTGGAGGGATTCTTTTAAGTTAATAATAACAAGTCAGGTGTGTTTACAAACACAAATGCCCCGCAACCGTGACTGTTTCCATGACATAACACCACTCTTTTAACATCAACTTACATGTACCTTGGTCACATGGAACGTTCATTGACAGCATTAGTGTCTTCTGTAGGTTTTATATGAATTAATCCCTAATCCCTATGATCTCAGAATAAATACACGATTTCTATTGTTTTAGCCACTGTGACCTTGACCCTTGACCTTTCCACTCCCAATGCGATACGCCTCTTAGGATTACCAAGAACGATCCACAAACCAAATTCGAAGTTCACATGTAAAGAATTTCTCAAGTTATCGCGCTGACATTTCTTTTGTTTTAGCCACTGTGACCTTGACCCTTGACCTTTCGGCCCCAAATGCAATAGGCTTCTTAGGATTACCAAGAACAATACACAAACCAAATTTGAAGTTCATATGTAAAGTATTTCTCAAGTTATCGCGCTGACAAAATTTCTTTTGTTTTAGTCACTGTGACCTTGACCCTTGACCTTTCGGCCCCAAATGCAAAAGGGTTCTTAGGATTACCAAGAATACACGAACCAAATTTGAAGTTCATATGTAAAGTATTTCTCAAGTTATCGCGCTGACAAAATTTCTTTTGTTTTAGTCACTGTGACCTTGACCCTTGACCTTTCGGCCCCAAATGCAAAAGGGTTCTTAGGATTACCAAGAACAATACACAAACCAAATTTGAAGTTCATATGTTAAGTATTTCTCAAGTTATCGCGCTGACAAAATTTCTTTTGTTTTAGCCACTGTGACCTTGACCCTTGACCTTTCGGCCCCAAATGCAATAGGCTTCTTAGGATTACCAAGAACAATACACAAACCAAATTTGAAGTTCATATGTAAAGTATTTCTCAAGTTATCGCGCTGACAAAATTTCTTTTGTTTTAGTCACTGTGACCTTGACCCTTGACCTTTCGGCCCCAAATGCAAAAGGGTTCTTAGGATTACCAAGAACAATACACAAACCAAATTTGAAGTTCATATGTTAAGTATTTCTCAAGTTATCGCGCTGACAAAATTTCTTTTGTTTTAGTCACTGTGACCTTGACCCTTGACCTTTCGGCCCCAAATGCAAAAGGGTTCTTAGGATTACCAAGAACAATACACAAACCAAATTTGAAGTTCATATGTTAAGTATTTCTCAAGTTATCGCGCTGACAAGATTTGTCCGGACACACACACACATACACCCACACACACCGGTTTACGTTACATACCTTGTGTGGACATTCCTTTGTTTTCGTGTAGTTAAGAAAACTCGGTACAAATAATAACTTTACTTAAACTGTGGAAACTCTTTTAACCCAATTTTTTTTCCTATGATTCCCTATAGTGTTTCTTCATTCTGCTACATATAAACCTAACCCAAAAATGCCTCTAAACCTGTTTTCCAGAAAGGGCAAAACAACCTGCATTATGTGGACATCTTTTGTTCACAAGTCCACATAGGGAATGCAAGACAAACTCACCCACACACCCACCCCACCCACCCACCCACCCACCCACCCACGGAAGGACAAGGCGGAAACAGTATGCCCCTTCGGCTTCGCCGCGGGGCATAAAAAATAATAATAATTTCAATAATTGAAAAAGCTTACAAAGACGAACCCTAGTTTTTATCACAAGTGATTAACAGAACACATAATGTTAGGCTTAATTTTAAGTTCAAGCACGTGTCGTATTCGGAAATACAATACAAGTACTCGTACTCGGAAGTACTCGTACTCGTACTCAGGCATTCAAGTACTCGTACTCGGAGACCTGTTCTTGTACTCGGAAGCACATGTACTCATACTCGTACTCATACTCAGCAACCTAGGTACTCGGCAGTACTCGGTAGTCAGCAAAAAGTACTCAACTGTAACACTGAGAAGAAATTATGGCAAACATTGGCATATCATATACAGTTCTAGGGGCATTAGGGGTGCCATCTTCAGCACTACACATCTGATCACTCTGAAACTTTCCCCTGCACATATCATAGTCAGGTGGCTTAGATCTAATTTTCGTCAAGATCGTGACCGACTGGTCCAAAGCATCAAACTTGGCAGATAGATTCTTATAGCCCTAGAGAAGATATTTAGAAGGGGTGACACCTAAAAATTCTTTTGGGAAGGGTGCCTAATTTGCATAAATCGTTAATCCCGGTCGTGTAATATATTTATTCCCATATTTGGGTATATTTCTATTTTTTTATTTTTTTGAAATATGTATTTTAGGGATTCTACTTACATTTCTTTACTTAATTTAACCCTTACTCTCTGAGGGTAGTTTACTGCATGTCAGTTGGTTATGCCAATGCCCTCCAGCTGCAGTTTATTGGCAGATAGTTTGTCTTAACAGTGAAGGCTCCAATTGGCAGGAGTTGGAGGCCCTGGAGGGTGCCTGATACTGACCAGCTGGGGGCACTCACTTTGTTTTCAGAGGACTCTCATTGTTCTCTGTGGCATGTATTGGAGTGCCTGTCCAGTTACCCTTGAAATGACATGGCAGATATTGGAGGGCCGTGCAAAAAACATAGGAGATTTTCTTGAGGCACATAATGGCATGCGTTGGAGGGTCTAGTAGGGTAAGGGTTAAATGACATTTTCCAAAGCATATAAGTGACTGAATAATTATGAGGACATAGTAACGATCCAAAATGGCTACTATTATGCCCTAAAATTGCGCGCATTTACCTTGTCTCCAGATATCATCAATTAGTCTTGCCAAACATCAGCATTGATGAACTTCAAATTTACCAAGTAGCTTACTAGTACAGTTACCCTATTAAAACCTTATGCAAAATCATGTGAACAATGATAACATTGTGATATTTAGCCCAGAAAACAAAAACTGGGAAAAAACGAGGTGTCCATAAATTAGGCTAACAAATAGGTGAAGGGTTGCCCAACATGGGAGACTGGAACAAGTTCAAGGAAATTCCCAACATTATTGTTGAGAAAACGTTTTGGCCTAAACAAAATTATTGTAAACAACAATGATCTCTTATTTGGGGGGATTTCGTTGAACTTCTTCAAGTCCCCACGTTACCCTTCCCGTACTAGCCCAATTTACGGATACCACATTTTCTCCCTTTTTTTGGTCTTTTTGGCTAAACATCAAGATGTTATCAATTTTCACATGATTTCCCACTTATTTTTGTTAAAGTAACTATGCCAGTAAGTAACTTTGTGAATTTGAAGCTCATCAATACCCACGTTTGGTGAGACTAGTTGATGATATCTGAGGAAAAGGTAAATGCGCGTAACTTTAGGGTAAAATAGTAGCAATTTTGGTTCTTTACTATGTCCTCCTAATTATTCAGTCACTTATATGTTTTACAAAATGTTATTGAAGTAAGAATATGCAAGTAGAATCACCAAAATACACTTTTCAAAAAAATTAACAAATAAAAGTATACCCAAATATGGGAATAAATATATTACACGGCAGGGATTAACGATTTATGCAAATTAGGCACCCTTCCCAAAAGAATTTCAGGTGTCACCCTTCTAAATATCTTCTCTAGGTCTATAAGAATCTATCTGCCAAGTTTGGTGCTTTGGACCAGTCGGTCACGATTCCGACCATATGCCACCTGACTATCAGTCTACAACATGGCATAAACATGCAATCATAAAATGCAGAAACAGCCATCTAGTTTTCAAGTTTGTATTTGTAATTTTTGGGGGTAAAACCTCTTCCAAATAATTAAACAATGTAAATTTGCTTTAGTTGACATGCTGATAAAGCAAGCAATTTCACACAAATATAACAAAAGTTTATTTTTTTTGGGGGGGGGGGGTTTACTTTCTTCATACTGAAAAATTGTGTCTGTTTTACATCGTTGTGCACAACATAAATTTAGCACTGATCCTGATGCTCTGTGAAAGTAAAGACAAATATACACACCTCCTTATTAATGGTCCAAGCTCACTTTGTAGCACAGAAGTTGCAGTAATCAACAGTTGACTGGGTATACACAATAATGTATCACCTGGCTGCATTCAAAGATCAATTTTGGAAACAAAAATAAAACAATTCAAGTTCACTGACAAATACTAGTAGGTCGATAGGGCTCAACCCGATAACCTACTAAAATTGTTCTGGTTTATCCATTTTCTTTTTTAGTTGATTTGTTTCACAAAACATTATTAAAAAGAAAATGCCAGGATGTTGATCCATACCGATAGATATCCTAGGGGAAACAAATAAAAATCAAACATTTAAAAAAAGTTGCCAGTATACTGAGTCATCACATGTATGTCAATTTACACAAATATATTTATTACACTCACTAAGTTTTTATTTTAATTTGACTTTGCATTATGTTTTTTAATGACATAATAAAGATACATTTTTAGGACGTCTCTAAGTCACAATTTGTACTCAATTCTGTACTGATCTGTATGCATTAGGAATGCTATTACAAAAGAAATTGAGATATGAGCATTAATCATTGTCTATATTATCTTGATAAGAATTTTCAAAATGCAAATAATAAAAAATGGACCAAAAATGACATGATGTCACTTCAAATTTCACAATAACGTGACACAGTCTGTACCATTACCAACTTTTTTAACCTTCCGATGTGCCACTTGTACTGTTTTTACACGAACGTGCGTCCGTACTATTTTTCGTAGTCGCTTGTATTTCGTGTAATAACCCCAATGCTGTTCGGTTTTATGGCTTTATATGTCAACACAGTACTTTCCCATAGTGTCTGAATATAATTATTCCGATCCTAGCATGTCGATTGTTTATTTGGCCATCGATGTCTATTGATTGCTTGGGTAGGTCTGGCGGTAAAACCCAGACCTCAAAGGCCCCTTTATATATACAAAGTGATGGGAGACTCTTGGGGCAGCACTTTGCTTTGCAAAAAGCTGGGTCACCGGTTCGCAACCAGGGTTCAAGCGGCACTTACCATGTTATTTGGCTTGCTTTGAACTAGTAAAACATGTAATATGAGTTTTTTTTAACACAGGATGAAAAAGTAATTGCTTTTTTACAGCGAAACGACTATGAAAAATAGTACAGTGGCACATCGGAAGGTTAATCTGATTCTGTATTAACCTGCATTTTGGACATTGAAATGTACATCATGTGATATGGTGACGTCATCTTGATGTAATATTTAATTATCTATTTTCAGATCTATAAATTGCTGCATGAAATGAAATGATAAACTGTGGGAGTACCCTTCACACAGTCCTTCCATTGCTTTTTTGGTCTTTCCACGCTTCTGATTCCTTGGGTTAGCTCTCCAAATAGGACCTGCTTGGGGATACTCATCCTACATGCATGGCCTAGCCATCTCAGTCGGCTGTTACGCACCATGGTCTGAATGGTTGTGCCGCCTGCATGCAGGGGGACATCTGTGTTGGTGATGCAGTGCCACCACTTGATACCCACATTTTGCCGTAGGGAGTGTTGATGGAACATCTCCAACCGGTGGATATACATGTAGGAGGTCAAAGTAGCCCAGGTTTCGCTGCCATCTACATGGGTGTCGCGAGGGGGGGGCAAGGGGGGGCACTTGCCCCCCTCTGGAAAAGCAAAAAAAAAAAAAAAAAAAAAAGGAAGAAAAAAGAAAGAAAGAAAAAGAAAAAAAAAAGAGGCGCGAAGACAAAGTGGTGTAAATTTAATGAGTTGGGGGGGGGGGGGCAAAATGTCCCTGCCCCCCTCTAAATCTGATAAATCGAGAATTTGTTAAGAAATACAAGCATTTTTTGGCAAAATTTTTTTTGCCCCCCTCTAGAAAAAATCCTGGCGACGCCCATGGCCATCTATGGCCTTTTAGACTGTAACCTTGGTTGAGGTGGTTAAGCCCTGTCTCCTCCAGCATCTTGAATTTAGGGAGTTGAAGGTGGCAGCCGCACGTGAGATTCTTCTTCTTCTAATTTCCGATTCCAAGCTGGCAGTGTCTGATAGGATGCCCCAAGGTATGTAAACTCATGAGAGATCTTTGGGACGAAGTCATCAAGTTGGATCGGGGGTGGTTCATCGCATAACAGGTGCATCACCTCTGTCTTGGTCTTGCTAATGGAGAGCCCCCAGTCCTTGCATGATGTATTGAGAGATGAAACTGCAATCTGGAGGGAGTCACCTGTTGAGGTTGCAATGGCAGCGTCGTCCACATAGAGGAAGTCATCTAGCCTGGTTGTCTTGGTTGATTTAGTTTTAAGTCGACACAGGTGGAATAATTTGCCCTCGAGCTTGAAACGAAGATTGATGCCCAAATTGGGCATAGACTTGTGGGCATGTCGCAACACAAATGAGAAGAACAAGACAAAGAGGGATGGCACTAAGATGCATCCTTGTCTTAGGCCGGAGTTCACCTCACAGGGGTCGGAGAGCTCGTTGCAGATTGATACACGGCCCCTCATACCTTTTTATGATGTTCACTACTTTGGTTGGGATACCAATCTTCAGAAGGATGGCCTAGTATACCCATGGATACCAAGTCTCGGTTTACTGAGTCAAAGGCTTTGACAAGGACTATGAAAACCAGAAGAAGCTTGTAGTGTTGCTCATGGCATTTTTCAAGTAGCTGACGTATGACAAACATCATGTCAATGGTAGAGCGGCTGCTACGGAAACTGCACTGTAATTCTGGGAGGAAGTGCTGGATCTGGGAACAGATCCTGTTGAGAATGACTCGAGCATAGAGTTTCCCGGTGATGGCAAGAAGGGTAATACCTCTGTAGTTTCCACGGGTAAAGCGGCAGCCTTTCTTAAAGAGGGCCATGATGTTGCCGTCCTTGAACTCTTGCGGAACTCTCTCTCTTCTTTCCAAATTGACAGGAGTAGTTTGTGGAGCTCCTTCAGCGAAGGGCAACCTCCTACTGTTAGAACTTCTGCAGGAATACAGTCCGGACCTGGGGCTTTGTTTTGGGCAAGTTGTTTCAAAGCCTTGGCTACTTCGGCTGTGGAGGGTTCAGCCTTGGGCTCAGTTTGGGAGTCCTCTTAGGGGATGTCTTCCAGAACTGATGGATCTGTAGTGCAGGGCTGGTTTAGCAGCGCACTGAAGTGCTCTCTCCAGCAGTTTACTATGGAATCCTTGTTGTAGACGCGGTTGCCGTCCACGTTGTTAATAGGAAGTATGCCTGTAGAACGGCACTGAGAGCCAAATTTGACTGCTTCGAAGAAGCTCTTTGGGTCGTGCCTTTGTGCATGCTGATCTATTTCTTTGGCACAGGCCAGCCAACATTGATTTTGTAGACGGCAGAGTTCCTGTTAACATATGCTCCTGGCCTGGGCATAACGTTGTGATGTTGTCGTTTCGAAGGAGTGACTGAAATTTGTCATGCTTTTGCTTCAATAGGATAGCAATCGCATCGTTATTTTCATCAAACCAGTCTTGCGAGTCCAACAATCTCCTTGTTTATTCCTGTCCAGCTGACTACAGATGGATAGAGACAGCTTTTCAGAACAATGGGGACTCCCTCTAGTTTGGGGAGATCAATGTTCCTTCCTGAATAGAAGAAAGTGTAATTGCTGTCAGTGAACTCTCCTTCGCCGGGAATACGGCATTCACTGAGGCAGGCAATATCAATGTTCAGACGAATTACATGTAGCTCAGCTGCTACTAGAGCGGAACGGCGTTCTGGTGCCTGCTGAGTAGAAGAACCAGAATTGGACATGGTTCTTACATTCCAACCTGCTAATTTAAGCTGCTTGAAAGAGTTACGGGCATGTCTGGAAAAGTCAGGACCATGGGGTTCTTTCGGATTTACCCATGGCCCGTCATTGGTGCGAAAACACTGCCCAGGCGTAGGTCGTTGAGATTGTCGAAGTATAGCTGTAGAGTCTGTAGCGGGTTTAGAAATCCAATGGCTGGAGGGTGCTGGCCTCACAGCCATGGGCAAGTAGGCTGCCCTCTTCCATACTTGCGACCCCCATTGGTAAAGGCATGGAGTGGAATCCAGAAGAGACACAAATCACCATGTCGTTAGAAACAGGGCAGTCAAGAGAAGGGCCAGTAGGGCGACCTAACCAAAGGACTGACCCAGGCAGGCTGGCCGCGAGTTACCAATAATCTAAGATAACTGTGTATATACATGGTGTTTCAATAAAAAGGAAACCCAACTTTGAAGAACGAGTACGGACAGACTAAATGTTTACTGGCTATAAAACTGGTATCATCTGAAAGCATAATTTTTATGCTTTTCAATGATATCTTGTTTACATTTCCAGGGTCATGCATCACTGAGCGCCATTGTCATGTGATTTTGATGCAAAATTGGTTCACTTTTATGTCAAACATATTAAATAGGCATGGTGTGCATGAGAATAAGTATTCAAGAAGACTCCTCGAGTGCATTAAAAGAAACCAAAAAAATAAGTCGGGTTGGTTTCAAAACTGAATTTTATTGTTTGTCATGAATTTCTCGTTTTCAAACATAATCAAAAACTTTTCAAGTAAAAAAACCCCAAATTGACACACTGTGCCTTAGAATATTTAAGACAAAGAACACAAGATCTGAAGGAAAATAAATACTATGAATACACGGATTCTTGTTTCTTGAATGGCTTCCCCCTCACGCTTCACGTCCCTCCACGTGTCCACCTCCTCTCTCCAAGCAAAGCGCGCACCTTCTCTGCATGGCATTAACTGCTCGCCTTACAGCAGCAGGATCCTCCCTCAAAGAATCCACTTCCAGGTGAATTCTGTCTCTCAGATCTTGAATGCTCTGCGGTGGGGTGACGAACACCTTACTCTTCAGATGACCCCACAAAAAGAAGTCACATGGTGTGAGGTCTGGTAAGCGGGGAAGCCATTCAATAATGAAATTTGGCTATGCAGTGCTGTCACACAATCACATTTTCTTTAAATTATGTGGTAAACTAATAACAAATCGTGGTCAAATTTTGTTTCGTTTGTTGTATTTTTGAAAGAAAACGATTGATACAGCGCAAGGCAAAAAACGAAAACCAAGCTTTTAGAAATGTATCAAATAATCATGCCACACAACACTACATAAGGCTGCTTCTC